ACATATATAAATACTAGTGTATAGTAGCACATATATCAACACTAGTGTACAGTAGCACATAATATAACACTAGTGTACAGTAGCACATATATCAACACTTGTCTCAGACACTAGTGTAGAGTAACACATAATATAACACTAGTGTAGAGTAGCACATATATAAATACTAGTGTACAGTAGCACATAATATAACACTAGTGTAGAGTAGCACATATATAAATACTAGTGTACAGTAGCACATAATATAACACTAGTGTACAGTAGCACATATATAAATAGTAGTGTACAGTAGCACTTATATAAACACCAGTGTACAGTAGCACATATATAAACACCAGTGTACAGTAGCACATATATAAACACCAGTGTACAGTAGCACATTATATAACACTAGTGTAGAGTAGCACATATTTAAATACTAGTGTACAGTAGCACATATATAAATACCAGTGTACAGTAGCACATATATCAACACTTGTCTCAGACACTAGTGTACAGTAGCACATTATATAACACTAGTGTAGAGTAGCACATATTTAAATACTAGTGTACAGTAGCACATAATATAACACTAGTGTACAGTAGCACATATATAAACACTAGTGTACAGTAGCACATAATATAACACTAGTGTACAGTAGCGCATATATCAACACTAGTGTACAGTAGCACATAATATAACACCAGTGTACAGTAGCACATATATAAACACTAGCGCGCAGTAGCACATAAATACATACTAGTCTACAGTAGCACATATATAAACACTAGTGTACAGTAGCACATAATATAACACTAGTGTACAGTAGCACATATATAAACACTAGTGTACAGTAGCACATAATATAACACTAGTGTACAGTAGCGCCTATATCAACACCAGTGTACAGTAGCACATAATATAACACCAGTGTACAGTAGCACATAATATAACACTAGTGTACAGTAGCACATAATATAACACTAGTGTACAGTAGCACATAATATAACACTAGTGTACAGTAGCACATAATATAACACTAGTGTACAGTAGCACATAATATAACACTAGTGTAGAGTAGCACATATATAAACACTAGTGTACAGTAGCACATAATATAAACACTAGTGTACAGTAGCGCATATATCAACACTTGTCTCAGACACTAGTGTACAGACACTTCTCCCGGAAGATAGGAGAGCATGCTCGATCGTACCTCAGTAGCTGTGAAGTGTAGACACCAAGGACTGGAGCTGCAGAGCATATGTTTCCAGGTGTCCGGGGAAGTATTAATCACACATAGAAAGCAGACTCTACCTTTGGTGTACAATGTTTATTATCATTAAGAAATGTTTTTTAACCATAGGTGAATGCGATCTTAAACAATTTACAAATGAATTCATATTGAAGTATGCCAAAGGGATAACAGAAAACAAGTCGCATTATGTTATTGGTAAACTAAATTGGTCTTGAATTAGTTCTTGAACATTTGTTTCATTTCTACGTGTAATGTAGTATCTGTTTTCTCTCGTGTAATGATACAATTTCTTTGGAAGTCAAAACACCAAATTCATAATAAGAAAGAAAACTTAAAAGCAAGTATGGAAGAAAGTTTAAAAAATGGGTTATCAGTCAATATAGTCCATAATGTCTTGGCATGTAAGTGAGTGAGTGAATATAGTTTTATGCCGCTTTTAGCAATATTCCAGCAATATCACGGATATCACGGCTTCACACATTGTGCCCATGTCGGGAATCGAACCCGGGTCTTCGGCGTGACGAGTGAACGCTTAACCACTAGGCTACCCGACCGCCCCCTTGGCATGTAAGCAAAATAGAGGTACAGTAAGGGGTTATCATTTGAACATTTGTTGAAATATTTGTAACAAGAAGATAAAGAAGAGTTAATAGTGATTACGGTTTGACATGTTGACATAAAAACATTCAATAAGTTCGGAAGAGGTTACTGTGTTGACCTCTATGATATTAAATTAAATATATCGACTTTATTAGGTACAATACATTTACTAAAAATCTACCTGTGCGTTTCCTTTTTTGAAGAGTGTACATACAGACACACAGACACATACATACAGACACACAGACATACACAGACACACAAATACACACAGACACAGAGATAAATGCTCAGATAAACACGCATGTACACACACAGCCACACATACATATACACGCAGACACACAAACACAGACACACAAACACAGAGACACAAATATTCATACTCACAGGCACACACAAACATACAGACAGACGCAGTCGCACACATATACAACACATAACAAAGACATACACGTCACACATACACACACATACACACACACCACAGATACAAACACACACACACACACACATGACAGACATCACGCAGACACATCACACACAAACACAAACACCAAATACACACATCACACACAGACACATCACAAACACCACACACCAAACACACAGACAGACAGACACACAAAGACAGACACATGCACGCACGCACAGACAAAAAAGCTACCACAAGGACACGATGACACGTAATCAACGAAGTCAGAACGCACGATCACACGAACCATTTAGTCGTATGACGACTACAGGTTACTGTGGACCCTGATAACACGGAATCCCCATGGCGAATCTCGTTTTTTAGATGTGTTCCATTAACATTTCATTCTACCATTAAGGCGGGTAAGCGTAACTTCAACAATAAGAAAAACATAACACTCCCTACTGCACAATGATTTATGGAACGCTAGAAAATGCTGACGGAATATTCCAGTATGAATCATGCCATGCTTTATAATGATGCCCTTCACCTTGCCTATTTGTTACTGGTTAAGGGGGTACAGGTGGTTAATAGATGAAAACACATTTGATGATACGTCTGTGAATTTAAAGTTGATTTTGACAGCCCGGACCAAGTCGAGACAAACACATGTGACAAAGTTCCTTGAGAAATTACAGTAAAAGTGCTTGACTTTAACGGACCAGTCTTCCTTAAATGCGATGTACTGTGACATTATAAAGTGGTATATAAGTATATGTAATACTAGTTCGTACATTTACACATGTGATGATTCAAATGTGTGTTTAAAGATGATTGTGACAGCCCTGGCCAAGTCGGGCCGAACACAAGCCAAACACTTCTGATAGAGACTATGTTGAGAATGTATCAGGAAAAGGGCTTCACTTTGAGCACCGCGTTATCTTTCAATACCTCGATCTGAGACACTATAAAGAGGTATTGGGGTAGATATAATACCAGTCTATAGATTTGAATACATTTGATGATGCATATGTGAGGTTTAAGTTGATTTTGACAGCCCGAGCCAAGTCGGGCCGAACACTTGGGGGGTTGTAGATCTTAGACGTTTAAATCTTTGGTAATACAGACGAACACGGGATTTGTTGGGACACATAAGGGTCATTATCGGGGAGAGATGAGACGAGAACCCATGCCCAGCTGATCCTGACACGGATAAGGTCGGTAACTCTGCGCAGCTTGGAGAGATAACTTAGATGTGCATGTTGAGCATATCATATGAGGCACGATAAGGTAGTCTAGTGGATACTACTACTACTACTAATAATACTACTGCTGCTACTACTACTACTACTAATACTACTACTGCTGCTGCTACTGCTACAACTAATACTACTACTGCTGCTACTACCACTACTGCTACTACTGCTGCTGCTGCTAATGCTGCAACTATTACTGCTACTTCTACTACTATTACTACTACTGCTGCTGCTGCTGATGCTACTACTACTACTTCAACCCCCACTACTACTACTACTACTGCTGCTGCTGCTAATACTGCTACTATTACTGCTACTATTACTGCTACTATTACAACTACTACTGCTGCTACTGCTACTGCTACTGCTGATGCTGATGCTACTACTACTACTATTACTCCTACTACTACTGCTGCTGCTGCTACTGCTACTACTACGAATACTGTTGCTACTACTGCTACTCCTACTGTTGTTACTACTTCTACTACTACCTCTACTGCTACCGCTGCTACTACTACTAGTACTACTACTACTACTACCAATACTACTACTACTACTACTACTACTACTACTACTACCAATACTACTCCTACTCCTACTGCAGTTACTACTTTTACTACTACTACTACTACTACTACTACTAGTACCACTACTGCTACTACTACTGCTAAGACTGCTACTAGTACTACTACCACTACTAATACTAATACTGCTTCTACTACTACTACTACTACTACTACTACTACTACTACTACTACTACTGCTACTCCTACTGCTGTTACTACTTCTACTACTGCTACTACTACTACTACTGCTAAGACTGCTGCTGCTACTACTACTACTTCTGCTGCTGCTGCTGCTACTATTACTTAGATTTTCATGTTACTTTTCCATTCTAGTAATGTCCATACTTAATACTTAAGGTTAAATCTGTATTCGGCTTCCACGGTGTTCAGCTTGATATGTGCCCCATGTGGGGTTAAAATGGCCCCCAGCAACCTTCAAGTATGCTTGCTAATTTAATGCATCGGGTGGTTAAATTTGGTTGATTGCGTGTCATCGTTCCCCGAAAGGTACCCGGTGGGGAGGTGCACATAATATCAAGCACTGGGTCTGATCAAGACTCGATCTATTTAAGGCCGCCGTCATGACCTGGACATTAAACAAGAAACATAGATAAAAGAAGCAAACACACACTTCGATGTGTATGGGCGTGCAGCTTAGGTGTGAGGAAACACGTGTTCTTGTTTTGTTTGTTGTTTAACGCCGCAATCAGGTATATTCCAGTAATAATCGAGTCTGGACCAGCCAGTCCAGTGATTGACATCATGAACATCGATCTACGCAACTGGGATACGATGACATGCATCAACCAAATCAGCGAGCCTGACCACCCGATCCCGTTAGTCGCATCTTACGACATGCATGGGTTGCTGAAGACCTATTCTAACCCGGATCCTCACGGGTAACGGGTTATTGATACAAACGTACCCTCTCATGTTGTTGTTGTTGTTGTTGGTGGTGGTGGTGGTGATGGTGTCGCCACAACATCTGAATCCCGAGCTCCCAAGGCAACAACCCGTGGAGCATGTGATGTTCACATTGATATTCCTGGAAGTAACGGTACACTGGGCCGCATCACCTGCTGGTGTTTATAACACAAGGTATACAACAAGAAGACAGTCAGTAGGACGGACATTGACAGACAGTCGGACACAGACAGACTACAACTTTTGACCTATAATCATCTTTGGTATTCATCCTCATAATCGTTCTTGCTTATCACTCAGTATTCACACCATACATTTCAGCAGAATATCATCGTATCTTCAAAGCAGTCTCAGGGTCAGTGTGAATTATCATGCGAACACGTTTTTTCTCTTCTTGAATCATCAATACCGGTATATAGAATATATTTGACTCTTGTCAAATAACATCTTATCATAGAGTGGATTGAGTAATGCTAACTTTTATGTCACGAGATGGCGTACAAATGTTATTCAGCAAGAAAGGTTTATGTTCTTCGCGTATTTATTATGTATTTTCTAATTGATATCATCTTATCCTATCTGTCTCAGGCATTATATATCACACCAGCGAGGTAGCAATTTTACGTTTGCAGATAAAAGAAGAATTTCATCAGTCAGTGCAAAATAAAATAATGAATCACATGACACGTCAAATAAAACCAAATGGACATAGGTTTATGCGTAAAAGGAAATGGCTATGCGAACACGCTTATATTCTCGACTTACATTTCAACAATTTCTAAATGATAGTTCATTTGAAACACCATGGACAATAGCCCTGTGAACATTAACATTTATTTACATTCACATATCAGGTATGAAGGTCCAAAAATATAAAGCGACAAAACTCTTCCCATAATCCTTAGTCAATCTATTAAATTTATAAAATTAAACTCAGTTGAATTTTTTTGGGGGGTGGGGGGGTGGGGGGTGGGGGTGGGGGGGGAGATTCTGCTTAAGTGATAATGGATTCGATAGCACGAAGAGAGGTCATGTATATATTTTCGAATATTGTCAAAAGTCGATCGATTGTGTTACTCGAAAGTCAACGGGGACATGGTGACGCTACATAGGGATTGTGTAAACAAAATAGTCTGCATTAATAGATGGATTAATAAGGAAGGCGTATATGAGTCATTTTAAAAAGATGTCACACTGAGTTTCCAAAATTACAAAATCCAATGGTTGATATGGTATCTTTTTTTATATGGGGTAACAAATATCTGAAGCTGTCAGTAACATCAAATGGAAGTCTTAATGGTGCTTTTAAGAAAGAGGAATAACCAGTTACCACGGCAACTGAAAATTGGCATGTCTTTCCCATAACAATGTTTGTGTGAATTATTTTGGTTTGAAATTTGTGAAAATGCAAAAAGCACATCTAAAACATTTATTTCTTCCTGATTTTGTATTTTAAACTTGAAGTGAGGATGAAGGGCATTTATTAAGTCCCTCAATGACCAATATGTACTCAGTGTCAATTCTATAAAATACTGTTACTCCTTCAACATAAATATTACCATTTCTAAAATCTCAAGATTTTTTTGGAGGTTTTTGTTTGATAAGCAAAGATAAACTATAATCCACTTATGTCTCATTGTGGGAACTAAAGACATATTTAAATATTTATTTTTTTAAACGAAGGTGTTATAGGAAGGACATGCATGTTACAGGATTGACTATATTTGTTACAGAAAAGACATTGCAAGTTTTTATCATCAGTATGAAAAGAGTGGTGAAGAACATCTTCGTTTTTTCTCATGTATATAATAATGCTTGCAAAAGTAATACCATTCATTATCTTTTTCAGTGATATTTATAGATTTATTTGTTAATGTAGTAACTCAGTTCCACTCTGAAATTCCACTCTAGAGTTGCTTTGTATTCCACTCAAGCACACATTGATATTCAGTAAACCTTCATGAAATCAGTATTAGTGAAATTCAAATTACATGAATTTTGGTGACGCAATGAAATCTATACATTAACATACTTTAGTGTTTGTCTCTGCCATAACATCAACAGATAAAAAATATCATTAGACCTTTTCAGAAAATAAAGAAGCGTGGAGAATTGAATTATAGTGCAGTGAAGATTTTTTTTTCCTAAACTCGGTTTCTACAACTTGTTAGACCTTTTGAAATAGATAATGCCCATAAGGTATTAGGTACTTCATGATCACTGCCATGATTCTATATTAAATGTAGAGTTTGTCTGACCTGTAACCACGGTTCCATATTAACTCAGAAATCATAAACACTTATCTTAGCAAGCTTAGGAACAAGTAACTAAAATCTCACTGATCCCTTTAGTACAATATATCATCAATCATAACAGAAAATAGTTACTTTGACTTATGGAAATGTAGAATGTCGTTACCGTAGCAAAACTGTCTCTGCCATAACACAATTCTTATAACAAGTAGGTGTTTCAATAAGTTTGCATAAAATGATGAAGTACAAGTTTATCCTACAAATTGTTGAATTGAAGTAATAGATTAGAGTATTGAAAAGGGACAGAGTAATGTACAATGATTCTTTATAACTTTTCAATGGCAAAATGTCATTAGAGTAACAAAATATGTCTCTACATTAATTAATAGTCCCTCCATGTAGCTGAATGTTCACACAATTTTCTGTTCATGAATTGACACATAAACTTGGAACTTGAGATAACAATTTTGCATCTGTTCCATCGAAACATAGCGTTATGGGAAAGACATAAAATGAAAATACTCATTAATTTCTAACCTTTTTGATTAACTTTTGGTGCTAATTTGTCTTCTGGTGCAAATGGCATATGACACTCCTATTGTGTAGGAAATGGTACTATGCATGACAGAAAGGACTGATATCCTCGCATTGGGGATCATTGATTAGTCCAAAGTTTTATTAAATGTTACAGGAAAGACTAAAACTAAGGGCGTTGTTATATATAATTATTATTCAGGAATTATATCAATTAGATTAAAATTACACACTTAAACTCCTAAATGAATCTAGTTTTTTTAAGATAACCACAGTAATATTATATATATGCCAAAATTTATAAAATGCCAGTTTCTCAAATTTGAAACTGAATGCACTGGGACAGCTAGAAAATGCATCTCCATTTAAAACGCATCAAAAGCACATAATATGACACAATGATTGAAAATAACCGTTTTATTGTATGCATTACTTTGCAATTCAAATATATATATTTTTAATTTTGTAATGGGTTTGGACAGATATATTGACATCTTTTGAAAATGACATATTGTGGGTAAATAGATTGATTATATTAGCAATGTAGTATTGGAAATAAATACGAAATACTTGTATCTACAATATACTGATTTGGAAAGGGATGCCAAAGGAAAGAATACTTACAATGACAGAACAAACAAAATAACATCACAGCAGCGAGTACAAACATCTTCAAGAACATGGTGTTGATGTTGATGTTGATGAATATCAAGAATGGGGCTGGACTACACTGGCACACGTTTATATAGGTCCCTATGAAGAGTTTCTATGAAGGCCTGACGGCTTTCAGGTACGCAGTGTGAGACACCTGTTCGTAATCGCTTCACATGCACGACACCATTAAACTAAGATTCCCTCATGCATTCAGCCTCAACAGAATACACAAAAAACTTCCTGGAAATAAATCATGATGAATTCCCCTTCATATTTGTATTTCGAAATCCCCTTTCATATTTGTATTTCGAAAACCCCCTTTATATTTGTATTTCAAATTTAATAAGAAATGCGGTCGAAAATAGTTGCCCCATTAATATGTTAACGCGACACTTGTAAATGACTCTTGATCAGGGATCATATTTTAAAGGGTATGTTCACTTTGTGGACGTCTAGTTTCTTTGAAAATAAGTGTTGTCAAAAAAAAAGGAGAGTGCTACAGGACGTGGACGTATCAGCTCATGATGTAAATTCCACTACTTGTGGCTGACTCTTCATACTGCTATCCTGTCGGTCATATAATCACAGGTGCCCTCCCTATTGTGGACAATAACAACCTTCGTCAGTTATTCAAATAGGGACCAATTAGGATCACAACTTTAAAATCATTATGGATGCTATCGAAGCATATGCCAATCAATGGGCCAAAAGAGAAGGGAAACCTTTTGAATGTCTTTCAGAGTGGGTTTAGTCAGTGCGTGATGTTGTCATTGGTAGATTGCATAAACTTAGAAAGAGGAAACAGAACTGGAATAAACAAATTGTGTCCCATCCAGCTGTCACCAAACAATGCCAGTGTATCAACTGAGGAAGAAATCTGCAAACAGCATGCATTATCAGTACTATCAACCTTTGGGTTGACTCGAAAACCTGAAAACATGACTAGTCCATTCCTCTTTTGTACTGGATTCCAAACCTCCATAAAAATCCGTGCAAAGAGAGAAACATTGCAGCAAATGTACCACCGAATCCTTGTCTTAACGATTAACTATAACCCTTAATACAATTAAGGAAGGACTTGAAGAAAGTATTTGAGACAAGTGGAATTAATACCATGAGGATTCTCAAAACTCAAAGGATTTGCTTGACTTTTTACAATCTCAGAAAAGAATCAAGTTCAATTCTGTCAAAACAGTTTTCGACTTTGTATACCACTATACCACATGACAAACTTGAGGGAAATCTTCATTTCTTGATCCATGGGGATTTTGTTACAAAACGTGGTGATCACAGATACGGTGACATCTTCAGGTTAATTTGTCAAAAATGAAAGCAAATGCCATTTGAAGTTTACTGAGAAAACAGTGTGGATGCTGGACTTCCTCGTTGATAACACCTGTGTAAAATTTGGGGTAAGATATTTATGTAAGAAGTTATCGTCCGCATGAGCACCATTTGTGGTCCCAGCACATCTGTTTCTTTATGCATATGAATCGGAATTTCTGCTGGGATTGGCAAAGTCAAAACAAGGTAGTCTGGCCAAGAAGTTTAATTTTGTTAATTTAAATAAAAGTGACACAACCGTTTCCTTGGTAATGTAAAGCTTAAGCATCATCCAAAATTTATTCCTTGTGGTGAGATGTACACAGACAGACATGTGTCTCAATATGTATGTTCAATACGTTAAAAAAACTATTACATTAATATTTACAATGTCAATGACATTAGTTCATACAAAATAAAGATTCCATTCCAGATATATGAAACTACGAGAGCCTATGTTCATAAAATGGTACACAAGTAATTTCGTATACACAAAACAAGACAACTGGTATATGATAGAGTGAACTATGCTATGAGTAAGACAACTAACATAATATCTGTAAAATATTAATCACAATAGGATATGAAAAGCCTGAAATAGGCTATTGGTATAGAATTTACCTGCCTCTTCTTAAGATGTTCAAACAGGCCTTGGCAGACAGAAGCGAGAAACGATCATATTTGATAAGTACTTAAGAATTGACCTTCACTTTGTGTGAGTTCATTGGAGTATGAACCTTCATAGAGTGAGGGCCAAACTGTATGTTCATACAACGTATGCAGTCACGCTCTCTGACATTTCTCAATGTACACTGAAACGCTGAATCCAAAAGTAAAGGTTCTAAATGATCAGAAAGAAGACTTATGTATGTTAGGGAATTCCCAGGAGTTTTCCCAGGAATGTGAAAGTAGTCAGTCAGTGTTTACTTCATTTCAAGAACATGATCTTGTGAAAAACGTATGAACGTCAAATTGTGTCGTTCATACATTTATGAACGTCAATTTCGCGGTCATGTGACCGACCTCTCGTCCAATGGAAAAGCCGTATATCGTGTAAACTTCAAATTAAAAAATTATTGAACATTTATCTTAATCTGACGGGAGATTAAAATCGGTACAAGTTAGACTGGATTCTTGTAAAACTTCACATCGTACATCGTCATAAAAGGGCAGGATAAAATGACTGGTGCGTTCTGTATATCCAATCCAATAAGTACAACGCCACAGGTAAACTTTGCATAGGAACTACGGTACTGATCCGGGAGATGCGTCTGTACACAATGTCCTTTACAATCTACACTCTTGAAAAGGCAGCATGTTTTCAGTTTACCGGTGTTGTTGTTGATATGTTTGGACCAGTTTGCTTTATACTGGTCGACCATGTGACTGGCGACGATAGTTGCGCTACAAAAATGTTCATCCCCACGGTCTCTAAACAGTTTATGTACTCTGTTTCCACATCGAATTGATGAACATTTATCCGACCACAAATCATCTTATTAATCCTCGAAATGCTCATTGTAACACAATAAATTTATTTCATTGTTTCAGTAGCGCTTCTCTCTGTATTATGGATACTGGTCCAAGATCCCCGAGAACTGCGCCTGTAGGAGGTAAAAGCGTCTTGCGCGGTATTGAGCCGTGTTAATGCAGGAGTAGTCATTGTCAAGAAATTTTCATTATAAAGCAGCAGTGATGAAGAACGGTTACCAGTGAAAGCGAATAGCATATAAAATATCTCAAAGAAACTGATCTGTAACATAAATTATCAATATGTGATGAAATGTGTGTGTAGTGTTTTTTATATAATCATTATATATAAGTCTAGATGCCTTTTACTTCTATCGATCTAGTTTGTTTAAAAATTCACTGTTTTACAGTTTTTTATGTATGGCTGAATTATTGCCAATACGTGTCACTCCGAGCGTGAAAGCTGAACAATTTCTCTATGTATGTGTGTTGCCACCCGTGAAGATCCGGGTTCGAATAGGTCTTCAGCAACTCATGTTTGTTGTAAGAGGATCGGGATCGGGCGGTCAGGCTCGCTGACTTGGTCGATGCATGTCATTGTATCACAATCGCGTTTAATATATACTCATACAATCACTGGATTGGCTGGTCCAGACTCGATTATTTACAGAGCGCCGTCATATACTTGAAGCTGGAGTATTATTGTGCGGCGTTAAACATCAAACAAAGCGTTAAGTTGTGTCGTGTTGTGTCGTGTCGTGTTTCTGACTTAACAACATACGTGACACTTTTGGTTACTTTTATTGATTGTTGCGTCAAATGTTGTGTCGTGTCGTGTCGTGGTGTAGCGTGTTTCTGGCTCAAAACAAATGGGACACTTTTGGGTTTACTGTGGTTTTATTCTACACATGTCTGTTCTGGCGTGGCGTGGCCTGGCCTGGCCTGGCGTGGCGTGGCGTGGCGTGGAAATGCAGTTTCCCGCCTAATCAAAACAAGTATATATTCTTCTGCGTTACCTTTATAATTCTTCCACATCCTGATTCATACAACATACAACAGAGACACAACGCACTGCGCACCGTAAGGCACTTTAATATGCATGCTGCATAGGCAATACATGGTTATACTGTAAGTGATACACAGGCAATACTTTCGCCATGATATCTTGCATAAATCTGCATGTCAGGATATTTTGCATAAAACTAACTTTGATGCAAGTGTACTGACCGTCGATGAACAAAATATAACACTAACTAAAACAAGAAGGTTAAAAATACAAAGATACTCAAAACATTAGAATCGTGTACTTATGCTAACAAAGGTTACCATTATCAGCAGGTAATATTGCCATAGGGCAAGGTTAAATGTGGCATTATTGTGAGAAATTCTCTCTGATCATTGAAAGTTGACGTACATGCTGGTTAGTGATTTTGTGCCAATTGTTCCATTGTTAGTGAAGACGTCTATGGCAACACAGGGTTGAAAAGAATGGCGTCATCCATTGTTCTTGACGTCATTTTCAATCAATATGGAGGCCTACGTTTCTAGATTTTCTCAGAAAATACACATGGATAATATAGAGAATAATCTAGGAGCTACAGAGAATGACGGATGATCTGTCCCGGGTGATTCATGTTTGTAGTTCCGTGCCTTGGTTGCTCTCTGATTCTAGACACTAAGAACAGCAAGGCGTTGAGTTGCGTTGTGTTGTAAGATAACGAACAGGTAGGGATATGTGTGCGTGCGTGTGTATGTACGTGTGTGCTTGTGTATCTGCGTCTGCGTGTGTCTACCAGATATTCATAATTAAAGGGGGACTAGGCTCCGGCAATTTGGCAATCAGGGGAAGTTTGAGTCAATCGTTCAAACACACATACGTTGTCTCCTAACTCAATGTGTCTCAAGTGTTTCACACAGGGCATTACTTCGAGACCAAGCTATGGATATTGGAGAAGCGATGGAACATTTGACGCATGTTTAGCAAACATGTCCGATGTGTCTAAATAATTCAATTGCAGCAATCTATTCTGAGTGAGGAAGCTGTGTAGTACGCCGCTTTTACATATGCCATCCATATCCACTATTTAAGTACGTATCTACCTGTTCTGCTTCAAGTGAAATGGTTGTTGTCACATGATAATAAAAAAAGATTCAAACACCAATGCTAGTAAGTACGTAACTAATGTTTAGCTTTGAAAGGATGAAATGATAAAGAATTATCAAAGAAACAACCAACATGCAGAATGAACACTAAACAAACCTTTTCATTGAAAATCCACATTCCGACTTTGTCGCCATAACATGAACAAATCTAATTTACATCGATATCACAGATTATGCGATGACATGATTACACAATTAAACTAAGTGAGTGAGTTGGATTTAACCCCGCTTTTAACTGTATTGGAGTTGTATAGCGGGGTGTCAGCCTGATGTGGGGGGAAACCTCCCAGTAACATAAGGCACAAACGTTTACACATTTGGTGAAACCAACGACCACAGGTATGGCGCTGACAAACCATATTCAGGGTGAATCTGGGAATCGAACCCAGTCACAGGGTTCCAGCACGCCAAAGGGACGCACACAGTTAATTGTGGCGCCTCAGACGACATGGCCACCCGTATACCCTACAATGAAACTAATGATAAGTGCTGATATTGGAATTGCTTAAATAAGTTTGGCTCAATGCGAATTGTTTTGTGACAATTTGGGGTTTGGCACTTTTCATATCACTTTTCATCAGACACACTACATACCTTTCTGCACATACATATTGTCATCAGTAAAGTACGGTAGGTCAGTAAAATAATATGTTACCATATTTGTGCTTTAATAACGCAAAATTACACTGTCACATTTCATGTAAAAGAAACTGTTGTTTGATTCAGTTCTGAAACGATCAAAAAGTGAAATTATTATTTGCAATGATGTCATTACATAAAAGGGAAAAGTGTGCAACGATTCAGGATATGGAGGAACTTTCAACAGTATAATCCTACATAACGTATCTAATTACATGGTATTCCTCGTCTGAACGTTATGCCTGTATTCAATTTAAAACATCACATGAAAAACGAAAATGAAAATGCAGCATAGCATTCTTGAATAGAGATTTCGTGTCACGCTTTCTCACAGTGGTAAAATATGCCCTTTATAGGGCTATAAGTGCATACATGCTTGTTTCTTCATGTGAACCATAAATACGGGTTCAGATTTGTGTAAATTACATAAAAAGACCAGCTAGATAGAAATGTAGCTGTAGCATGGTACATATAGTATATAGAAAGGCACAAACTGGAAATATACGAGCCTCCACCTTTCATCGTTTCTTATATCCTGATGTTGTCTGGTCATGTCCATCTTTACATGTTCTTTTTTAAAAAAACTTCACGTTAATCGAGCGATGGTTCAAATCTAAAACGACATGATTGATCCATGTGTTACTGACATCTCGTACATTAGGAACGGAGACCCACATGACATATTCGTTTATGTTGACATCAGTGATGCCACGCTCACAAATCGTACTGTAACCATTTGAAAATATCATATCTCCCAGCTTAAGTGTGATGTAGTGCTCACAATGCCACCTTGGAATTGAAAGGATTGTCAATGTTTTTAGGTGTCGCCAACTGATATTTGTAATAACATGTCCACAGCTTCAAATTATTTCCCACTTGAAATGACAATCGTTAAAGTGGTGAAATAATAATCAAATTTCGTGGATCACTTTTTTTAACCTCCACGTTTTGCCGTCACGCATTTCATAAAGATATGCTCGTCTTGGTCGAAAACCGTTTCCGACTGGCATGTCTATTCATAGCCATGTACAGGACCACCATCATCACAATCAGTACTGTCAACACTATAGAGAAGAGACTTATGTAAATTGAGATCCTGGCTCTCTTAGCACCTTTCTTCTTCTGGCCATCTCTGTAAGCCTTGGCAGACATCAATGCGTAGTAAATAGCTAAGGCACCCAATGGGAAGTTAAAGCATAGGGTAACGAGAAAGGCAACGGCGATGTTTGTATTGGGAATATCTGGAATCTGAGGTTCAGAAGACTTGGAGGCTTCAGAACCTTTTTCATTTCGGTCTATATCTTGTTCGTTAGGAACCAAGGGTTGTACAATATCCCTGTTGGGTGGAATAGAGGGTTTCTCCGAGGGGTACTTCCCATGGGGCTGTACTAGGAATGGCTCCTGATCAGCGTATTCTCGTGGAGGAGCAGTAGCGGGAGATGAAGGTCCTGATGCTCCATCTGGTTCTTTGAGTTCTCTTCTGTTCAAGGCAATAGTCCCAGAAGGAGATTTGTCAATTACTGCCTCATATTCTATCGGTAGACCAGGTGGCTTTTCTCCTGCCAATTTGTCCTTATCTTTAGCGTTTTCCTCCGTCTCGTCAGCTTTATCATCCTCAGGCTTTGGGGCAGCTGTAACACCTGTTACCTTTTGGCCAGACGAAGCATCATCAACTTGCACTTGACCTGTGGGTTCCTTGGGAAACTGATGCGATTCATCAGTGTAATTGGCTGCATATTCAGCCATGCCGTCTGTACTTCCATCCAGGATGTTCCTAATATCCGATTCTGAATATTCGCCTAATGGGGTTTCAAAATCATCAGAACTACCCACGTTTATATGTATGCCAGCATCGTTTGACTCGCTCGTAGATTCAGGACCTTGTTCCATGATTTGTCTTTGCTGTGGTGACTCTTTGGTTGTTTCGTTTATGTCCTTGCCAAGATCTGGCGAGTTCTTCAGACCTAAGCTCTCTGCAACGTGTGACCGGAATCCTTCTTCTTCCTCTTCCCGGGAGGAACGGCTCTTCGGCGAACTGTCCGTGCTTGAATTACCAAATGTAACTTTGGTTCCTTTCGCTTTCGGTGAACGTTTTACCTGAGGGACATCAGTACCTTCTACGGGCAAAGCGGTGTCTTCACCTTCATTTAAATTATAGTCCATAACCTGAATGGTTTTGATCAACGGATGTTCTTATCTTCGGAGAATCATCTTCGGCAACTGCAAAGAAATAGAAATAAACATCAGGAAATCTGCTCATTGAATGTGTTTATGATACGTGACAACTGCTTGTACATAACGCAATATTGGAAACAACCACAACGAGCTAGAAAGGTGTCCCTGTTTATTCAATAGAGGTTATAACCTAAACCCGCCGTGATATTGCTTGAATATTGCTAAAAGCGGCGTAAAACCATACTCACTCACTCACTCACTATAACTTGTAACACTGGAACGCATTGAAGAAAATATAACAAACCTCAAATACCGAGAGCAGTGATTCTATCTCATGCGTCACCGCGATTGTGTCTGCAACTTGAAACGAACTATAGCCAAAACTGACGTAACGGACGGGGAATTCAGTCAGTCAGAGGATGGGAGCTGTTGTTTCCTCAATACTAACAGAAATACGTGGAGTGGTAGGAACATATTGACTGCTGCTGTGGAGGGTTGGAATGTGCGCGGTGGGTGATGATGGGGCCATTAAGATTGAGTGATAGACTACGTCGACAATAAAGGCGTGTTCAGGAGTGTGCCTCACGTTGGACACATTACAGGGCAATGCAGGGTCGACATTAAAACTCTAAAGTAAACGGTATTAAGATAACTGAAAAAAATCACCTGGGGTTGATATCGCTTTTATCGCGATAAGGGACACAAGAATGGTCTGTACATTTGGACGCCGTGTTGGAAATCGCAACGGGTATCCGGCGTGACGAGCCAATATTTTAACCACTATCCACCCGCCTTTGACGTTAACAGTTATAGTAGTTTGGTCTTTTGTGTTTATTCATTTTCAATTTCTCATAAATAGTTTCTACGATCTTCCTCTTCTTATGTAATCAGCCGAGACCTTATATGTTAATCATGAGTATGTACTGGTCCTCAAACACCAGGTGTTTGTTAAGAATATCATTGCACATGATGATGAATAATTCATATTCATATCACAGACATTATTTGTTTAGGGACTGACAATTCAGTTGGGGTGGGGTTGGGGGTGTTGGTGGGGGTGTTGGTGTTGGGGCTTTGGGTTTGGGCCTGGTCAGCGCTTTCAAGACGATTTTCTTTCTTCTTTCATAACTCAATGTTCAGAACATTCAACCCGTTAAGCAATCGATTCATATCTCTGGGTAAAAACTAGGGACATTTTATTTTTTCCAGGGTTTATTTGAACAGAGTTTAAGGACACCCAATCCACCCAACCCATCACACCAAATGATCGACCCTTTAGCATTGCTTGTTGAAGAGTGGGATAGGCATCGATGGACGAACAACGAAGTACCAGCATGTTCCCCTACGTCGTGAGATAACGTATTTGTTTTATATCAAGCAATACCACAAACTGATATCTCGTCTCGAGAAACACCAGATGCATCCACAAAGTGCATAAATAATTCAGCCACACGTCAAGATTTGAATCTGTGACGTCAGACACATCCAACCACCCACTGGTACAAACAAACATAAAGATAATGGACTCGTTAAAATTATTTACAAATAAGATTAAACACAAGAGCAGGTTTGAGGAAGATATGCTGGAGATTACGTGTTTGATTTAAAGACCCAGGTTAACACATCGGGCAAACATCGCCATACCCGGAGGTTCGAGACTGCGAATCCCCTCCACTCGAAATAATATGACTGCCAGTTTCTCTTTCAACCCTAAACCTTGAATTTATGCTTGATGACACATTCGTGTCATTCCAATTAACCGCCGTCATAGAGCTGGAATATTGCTGAGTGCGGCGATAAACAACAAACAAACAAACATTCCAAGTAACGTGCAACGTTTTGTCACGCCACAATTACCATCTCAATTGTATGTGATTTAAATATACCATATACACGTGTATAGCACTATATGTATAACACCCTATGTATACGTATAGTGTAATATAAACATCTGTGAACACATAATGTATATAACCATATGTATTCACATAATACATCACCTTATGGAGAATACATAAATAAAATTATATCACCAAATGTGTGCACATATAATTGTGTACCCCTATATGCATTCACATAATACTTCACCATATGTATACGAAAAATGTATTTCACCTCCCGTATGAGTAAACTGACTGCGCATAATGTGATTCGTCGTCGGAACAAGCATTACCTGTGCCTCATCTCTATATATAGGTATTGTGTATATCACAATCTTGTGAATGCGCATAACGTGTATCACCATCTGTCGTTGAAAGTATCGTGATATGGTTGAACTGTTGCTGGACCTATCGTGATATGGTTGAACTGTTGCTGGACCTATCGTGATATGGTTGAACTGTTGCTGGAAGTATCGTGATATGAATGAACTGTTGCTGGAAGTATCGTGATATGAATTAACTGTTGCTGAACCTATCGTGATATGACTGAACTGTTGCTGGACGTATCGTGATATGGTTGAACTGTTGCTGCACCTATCGTGATATGGTTGAACTGTTGCTGGACCTATCGTGATATGGTTGAACTGTTGCTGGACCTATCGTGATATGGTTGAACTGTTGCTGGACCTATCGTGATATGGCTGAGCTGTTGCTGAAAGCGGAGTTAAAACGAACTTCCTCATAACCATTTGCATGTGCTTCATATAGAGATTATCATCCTCTGACTTCCATACATTAGGCATAACCATATAAAACTGCAAATCAATACTGATCAAATATACTACTCAAAAGAAGTTAAGGACTATCCGGTGATTTCATGACAAATTAAATATAGTTGCATGAAAGAATCGGATGGCCCTTTACTTCTTTTGAGTAGTATAAATGAAAAACGTCAATGCTTGGTGAGTATTTGCTCTCAGCCGAAGTCCCCAAATGTATTCCCATATTCTCATGGAAAGAAATAACTGCTTCATATAAAGTTCAATAAAAACAAAGATGTTCTGAAAAGAAATAATGCATCTTTTTATCCATATTCATGAAGTCATCTCATGTCCCACACGATGCAGACTTTTTGAAGCAGAATAACATTGCTGTATTGCCACGCCTGTCTGGGATGAGATGGGTCGACGAATACGACAGGATCAGAATCAGCCGGTATCGCCAATTTATTTGAGCCAATTTTTGGCTGACAATGAACAACAACCCCTACATCGTCTTCAATCATCAGGGCCTACATGCACAAAGCGATCTTAGCGTTAAGATGATCGTAACTCCAATACTTTAACATAGGCTCACAATAGTCGTAGCGCTCAGATCGCCCGATTCAAGTGGGCCCTTATGTCTTTAATGCGCCGCTGCTGCCTCACCTGTATCCACGCTAGTGGTGGTCACCCCAAATATTGACACTGCACTGCCCCTTTTTAAGGACGTGTCGCTCTGCCTCCTGTTACCAGGTATAATGTTTATCAATAATTGTTTTATGATCAAACATTGATGAGTCTTATGACCATATATTATGTTCTTATTTTCAGTAGCACAGCATTTACTCCATTTTATATGAAGCACAGTTATTTATTTCATTAATACATGTAAATATAAAAAAATCCGATAAAAATGTCAACGTGTCTCTGTTATGTGAACAGTTAGCTGTGTACACGCTCTGGCAACCGGGCTAGGCACCCAAGCGAAAATTTACCAGACAACCCACCGGCGCTTATAAATGAAGCGACGCGGATGATATCGCGCCGAGAATGTAATGATAATGCCATCCCGTCTTTAGACGGATAAAAATCGTGTGGTTCGTATCCCTCCATGGAAAGGAAGACAGTTGTGTAACACTGGCGTTCCTGTTACGCACATGCGGCTGTATACAGCTTGCACATTGCGGAAGTCAAACCACGTGGATCTCGGGGCATACAAATAGCAGCACGAGGGATGATCCAAGAACAGGGAACACCAAATAATCTCATCGACCTTCTTAAGTTACAAGGTGGTTTTGACAAATCATCAAATCATTTCACGAAAACCTTTCTTTATCACATCTTTATCACATCTTTTGATGATTTCAAACACTCAAGAACAGGGAACACCAAATAATCTCATCGACCTTCTTAAGTTACAAGGTGGTTTTGACAAATCATCAAATCATTTCACGAAAACCTTTCTTTATCACATCTTTATCACATATTTTGATGATTTCAAACACTCAATACATTTATTTGTTCCTTCATTGAGTGGAATTCAGAAGCTATATTTAAGTCGGTTATTAATGTTACTTCAATGTTAAGCATGTGATGATCATGCCTATATTATTCTCAATAGTTGGAAGCATGTACACTATACTACTCTGACATTACTCTGCAGTGTATACGAAATCCATATATTCCATGTAACACGAGCTGTTAAAAACAGTTTTACAAAAAATGCCAACATTCTGTTTAGACTTACCTAGTACATGTACATTAGGCCATTGTGTATACAATCATTAGAACCAATATACATGCATTAACCTCTGTGAGTACATGCATAGGTATGTGTGTTTTGTGCAGCATCAGCAATTTTCATTGTTACTTGCACACACGCAGGCACAGAAACACCTGCATATAGATAAACAGAGCTGGGAAAACCATCACATTCTATGTGTTTTAGCAATGATCAGCAGTTTCTTGCTTTCTCATATACGCATAAAATATTGCTCTAGTGTTTCAATAAGAGCAAACAAAAATGTTAATTTATGGTAGAGAGACGTATAAAATTAGTAAATAAATAATGCCATTTGAGAAGTACCAACCAGAATCAAAGAAACACTGCAACGTATAAAACTTATCATATATACATCCACGCCCAGACTAGTCATACGCACTACAAGATGAAACAGTAATCATGTATACATCCACACCCAGACTAACCATAGGCGCTACTCATTATATATACATCCACGCCCAGACTAGTCATACGCACTACAAGATGGAACACTAATCATGTATACATCCACGCCCAGACTAGTCATACGCACTACAAGATGGAACACTAATCATGTATACATCCACCCCCAGACTAACCATAGGCGCTAATCATTATATATACATCCACGCCCAGACTAGT